TCGGGAGCACGGGCAACGGTTGAGCAGCTGTCGGCGGAGCGCGGCAGCCAGGCGGCACGATTGGCCGAGCTGACGGCGGCCGTTGCCCGCCTGGAGAGCAGCGCCGACGCCTCGAGACCGGTGGTGGACGCGCTGACCGCGGAGCTGCGCGAGACGCAGGGCCGTCTCCGCCAGGCGGAGGAGGAGGCCAGCCAGCTGGCCGAGCGGCTCAGGGTGTCCGAGGAGCGTCGCGAGTCTGCCGTGGCGGCCGGTTCCGCCAACGCCGCGCTTGCAACGCAGTTGTCGACTGCGCTGACGGCGCTGGAGCGCCTCGCGGAGGAGCGCGAGACCCTGGCTGGGCGCTCGTCCGAGCTTGAGGAGCGCGTTAAGGAGCTCGAGAGGGAGCTGCGGGATGCCGTGAACTCTTTGTCGTTGAGGGAGTCGGATGTATTGCAGTTGCGCGAGGAGTGCATTTCTAAGAGTCGTTTGCTGTCAAACGCGTTAGAGGCGGTGGATCAGGTTGTCGAGGAGCATGTGTCTGCAGAGGCATCGCATAATAGACAGACTTCGAGTCTCGTTAGGACCTTTGAGGCGTTGCAGGAGCAGTTTCAGCTGACGAAGAAGGGGTTTGAGGAGCAGTGGGAGCGGAAAACAGAGGCTTGCACCGCAGAGTTGATTGCGTCTAGGCGGAGCGCCCAACGGGCCGTTGAGGCCCGGAAGCGGGCCGAGGAGAACGCTGCTACGTGCATGCGGGAATTGGAGCGCGGACGCGCGGAGTTGCTAAAGGTGCAGCGTGACTATCGTGCGCTGGAGCGTCTGTTGCGTGCTAGCGGTCGGCTCTCGATGTCGCGGGTGGAAGGAGAGGGAGGCGATGAAGAGGAGCTTGAGGCGTCGTTCACGCATGCGTCCACGCGTAACACGGAGGGTGTTGAGCTCGCCCAGTTCCTCCAGATATCAAGTCTGCAGACGGACCTTATGCTCTCCCGCAGGACGTGCCACCAGCTAGAGGCACGCCAGGAGGAGCTGCGGACGGCCTTAGAGCGGAGCGAGTGGCAGCTTGCGTGTTTGCCGCCAAGCGCAGAGGAGAGCCATGCGGAGCTGCGCCGGGTGCGTGGGCAGCTGGGAAACCTTCAGCTGGAATACAGTCGCCTGCAGGAGCGGTATGAAAGTTTGAAGCGGCAGCGCGTGGAGGATGTGGAGCAGCTCCAGCAGCAGAACGAACGGTTGGTGTTGCAGCTCCGTGAGAAGCGGGACAAATTGGGCGGTTTGACGCGGCAGATGCGGGAGTCGGAGTTGGCTGCGAAGCAGCAAGCGGAGGAACTCCAGCAGGCGTTTAACGTGCTGGAGGGGCAGATGCGGGTGCTGCGGGAGGAGGTGGGCTGCGGACAGCCGCAAGACCAGCAGGAGGGCCGCTCGCGGCGGCGGCAGCGCGCGCGGGAGGTGACGGAGGCGGAGAGCAAAATGCTGCAGGGCCGCGTCACCTTCCTCGAGCACGCGCTGCAGCAGAAGGAGGCGGAGACGCAGCGCCTGCAGGAGGAGCTGCAGCGCAACGAGGCGCAGCTCGACCAGTTCGAGGACCAGGTGACCGTCGCCACCCAGCGGCTCGAGACGACCGCGCGCAAGAGCACGCAGCTCGAGCAGACGGTGGGCGAGCTGCAGCGGGCAAACGAGGAGCTGCGGGAGGAGCTCGGCGTCGTTAAGGAACGCGTGTTGGTCCACGCCGAACGCCGCACCTCGCAGCGCGCCGCCTCCACCGGCGCCCCAAGCCACGCGCTGCACGGCGCAAGGGAGCCCAGCCTCCCACCGGCGCGGGGCGAGGACGAGGAGCGCGCGACGCCCGCAGCGCGGCCTCCGGCAGCCGCAAGACGGCCGGCCGCAAAGCGGGGGCGCTCCAGCAGATCCCGGGCGTGACGACACCCGCGAGAACTGCGGCGACCCGCGGCTCCGCGGGTGCGGCGGAGGAGGGGGGCCGAGCGTCAAAAGAGCAACACGACAAACGACAAAAGACAGTTGCCGGAACAACAACAACAACAACAACAACAACAACAACAAAAATACAAAAAAAGTTGCGGTGCACGTCAAATGCCAATGTTCATTTCCAACTCCGTAGGAGCGAAATAAAACGAAGACAAAAAAGAAAAAAAGACAAAATAAAAAAAAAACAAGAAAAAACGAAAAAAAAAACGAAACAACCAAGAACAAGAACGGACCGGAAGCGGAATTGACTCCTGCCGCCCCCTCCCCCTCTGCAGCGGCTACAGCAGAGCCAGAGGCGTAGCCAATTC